AAACAACACGGTAATAACGACGGCCCGCTAGCATGCTCCCCCGACAACCCCTTACATCTCCCCCTCAGTCTTCCTGCCTGAGCTCGTCTTGTAACAGGCTCCTTTTAGTAGCTGTGCTCCTTTGAGCCCTGCAGCAGCGTGAGGTTAACCTCATCTGTCCAGAAGTGTCTTTGATCTATTTATACAATAATCACTGAGCAGACAGCTGAAAGTTAAGAGCAACATCTGCTGCTCTACAGGTTTCTACAGCCCTGTAAGCCTTTTACTGGAAACATGTATAATTATTATTTAACCAGCAGCAGCAGCAGCAGCAGCAGCAGGGGGGTTCATTCACTTCAGTGATGTCAAATTCTAATTAGTGAGACAAGAAAATTCTTTAGACCAATTTTAGTTACTCAAGCGATTCCATTAATGCTTTAAGGCACAAATTCCTGACTGCATGTCCGGAGCACGTACCTGCGGGGCATCACGGTGTTCAGACCCATCCAGAGCTTGTTGACGGTCTGTAGTATACGACGAGGCACAGCAGGCTCCAGCAGCAGAGCCGTGCTGGCTGTGAGGGCCTCCGCGTAAGGGATCAGGTCTCCGGGTGAAAGCAGCGTTAAATGTTCCAGGATACGCATCAGCCTGGGACTACCTGACGGCAACTTCTGGAAGGCTGGGAGGAAAACATAAGCTTTAATCTCTGAGGTACGAAGCTTTGGCTGCATCTCCGTCAGTGTACAACAAGTGCACAGCACAATATCATAAATACACTTGAGAATTATTGTGCGATTGTCCGTTGAGGTTAATCAACAGATTCCTTTAGCAGCATGGAAGCATTTCAAGAGTCAGAGAGGAAAAATGGAAATCACAGATTAAATCCTACAAATGTATGGCGATATTTTTGTGCCGCTATTCTGAGCGCACGTAAAAAAAGTTTGCAGGTGCAAGTGTTTGAAATTTATTTTGAGCGAAGAAAAGCTGAATCTGAGTGAACAAAATTCATTCCTGTGTGCAAAAACTGTATTTCAGTGTGCTCGCGCTCTCAACATTTCCGCCTGTGCACGCTCAACTCTTTCTCTACACCGTTATATTTGTGCCACAAAACCAGCCAATCACAGACTTGGATGCAAAAAAATCTGATTGGCTGTTCTGGTCTCCAATCAGCTCGAAATGACGAAATGCAATATCCCAGAATGCATTTGTCCAAAACTCAAACGAGGCAGGGGCGGAGTTTGAAATATTACTCTTTCTGGGTCACAAAATAAACTTTTAAGATATTTTCATGCGAGAATGTTTCTGTGTAAACTTCTAATATCTGCTTGATTCATCAAGACATCACATATTTGCATAAGTGCTCTAACGTTTTCGGAGATGCCTGTTACCCACCAGCTGACCGCATAGCTGGACTGGCCATTGGACATTTGCCTGGTGGGCCGATGGTGATTTTTCATTTTTATGTTTGTTTGTTTTTGGGCTGGACCAATTACAACACATCCGTATTGAAGGGAAAAGGAACGCGATTAGTCCCGGACTTCAGCTAGAATCAAAAAGATTCAAAATAAATTTCTCCTCAAAATACGACACTTGCACCTGCAAATTTTTTTTACGTGCGCTCAGAATAGCGGCACAAAAATAACGCCATACAAATGGAGTAAGCTGTTCAGGTTAAGAGACAGGCTCCGCAACAAGTATGTAACCATCACTCAGTTCAAACAACTTTCTTTTAAACTACAATGAAGATCAGAGAAACACAAATAAACGAGACGCCAGCTCTCTGCGGTTTGTCGTGCAGCGCCACCTACATCTATTGAAACTGTTGATCCTTCAGCAGTTGTGGGATCAACACAGCATAAAAGATTAACCTCAAAGATTACAGATTGATAAATGATTTTATTCCAACCTAAGACAGATAATCTGGCATTTCACTCGTGACGTCTAGATTAGCGTCAGTGGTGCTAGTAAAGCCATCAATTATCTGTCTGGGTTTTTATTACTTTAAAATGTTTCTCTCTCAATATTTTAACTTACATTCAGCAGCTACATCTTAAATCTCCTGTGCTCACCCTGGTGAAGCTGTCTCTGGGTGTATCTACAGGTGTTGCTGGGAAGCATCATCTTCCTCAACAGGGGCAGGGTACCGGTCACCTCCTCCGCACACACCCAGTCCTCCACAAGGCATAAATGTGGGTAGTTGGTAGCAAGCAGTCTTAGTAGGGCCGAATGCAGACCTGGGATCAGTGAAGAAGCTGCGTTCAGTCTACAATAATCAAATATTTTTTACCTTTTGGGGGTTTTTCTCCATGTGTTTAGTAAGAAAAAGCCAAACGTGACTCTCACCTCCGAGTTCCTGCTGCAGCCCCTGGGCCTGGGTAACTAAGTACTTAATGGGGATCTGGTCCATCAGGGCTGCAGAGTAGGATTTTGGCTTCTTCTGCATCAGGGCTAAAAAAAAAAACAGAAAAAGAGGAAAACAGGACGAGTGAGTGGATCACAGCAACGACACTAAATTAAATACTAAACAGAGTGAAAATGTGAAGCAAAATAAGGACGCGATGGAGGATAAATGTTTTATTTGATTGTGTGAGGACACCAGAGCCGCTGTGCCGATGCGTGCGGGAAGCTGAGGTGATTTTTCATTGACGTGGGTTCATTACCACTGCTGATGGGCTTCATTACTCCTTCCTTGAAGGCTGAGAGAGCACTTGGGTAAACACAGCAATTAAAGAGATGGGCATAAACTCTCACATAAATCTGGCCTAATGAAGGGCAAGAGGAGAGCTCGTCACGGGAGAGAATAAACACTGACTAGGCTAACTGCTAATGCTCAATCTAACCTACAGCTGTCCTAGTTAGCTTTGCTCCCGCAGCCATTGTACTTGGCTCTTTGTCAGCCAACCATTTATTCTCTATGAAGCAGCCAACATTCAGTGCCAAGAGAGAAAAGGATGAATGACTGCACATCCAGAGCATCTCCTACAACTTAACAGAGGACAAAAGGTTCCTTTTTCTTCTCACTTGCTGACAAATTCCCTTCATCATCCACACAATGCATTCTTCAGTGAGGAAAATGACAAAGGATGCAATTCAGACAGGCACAGAAAGAAAATGAGAAGCAGGAGGGAGGTGAGCCAAGAGCACAAAGGGAAGCCAAACACATCGCGGTGTTTTTGTTGGGAAACAGCCTCATACATACCCAGCTGTTTGGTGCTAGCCAGCAGGTTCTCCTCATATGACAGGATGTAGTACAGGATAAGCAGTTGGGTGGTGATAGAGTAGCGCTGCCGTCCTGCTCGACTACCATCCGCTTGCTAAAGAGATCACCAGTAAACGTGGATATAACGGTTACAAACCTATTTCCAAACTACGAAGATCAAAGTGAGCAAAATTATGGATTATGTGTAATTATGTTTCAAACAAAACTAACAATAACCCATCAAATGCACTGCACTGGTTGGAAGCGACTTACTCCTGCAGAGCTCTGGAAGACATTGAGGATTTCCTGCTCTGTGATTGGCTGGTTGGTGGCCTCTGGGTTTGCCTTGGAAGCTGGAGTAAGGATGGAGTTGATATAAGCATCAATTAGGGGAATAAGTTGGGTGTGGATGGGTGTCGTCGTCTCACAGAGTTGGCGATAGATCCAGTCCTAGAAGGTGCACACAAGGGCAACAACACAGTTTCAAACAGCTGTGCAGTAGCACAAAGTTACGCAATAGTCACAATCAGCCATAACGTTGTGTGCTTTACCTTAATAGACACTTTGTGCTTGGTGAAGGCTCGGCTCCGAAGCAGCTGGTAGATGCAGTGAATGGGAAGAAATCCTGTGATGTTGGCACTTAGGTTGTTGGTCACTGCAACCCTGACTGCATGAGCTGTAACCACCTGCACAGCCAAAGTTAACTGTTGTTAACAGTTCAGAAATGTAAAGACTATAAACATTTGTGCCACATTTCTTTTGTACCGCTCCTTGACTGGAACATTTACATGGGCCCAACCATTATCTGTGGCCAAGTTTCTACGTTTTGAATCATTATCGAAATAATATAGTTGCTCGGTGGTGCAGTGGTTCAGTAACACTGTGAGGAACCTTGGAGTCATTTTTGACCAGGAT